GTTTCTTTTAAAAATAAAAAGATCGCATCAGTTATTATATTTTGTGCTTCTAATTGGAGAAAAATTGTGTAAATGGAGAATAATCGTCAATTTTAATGAATTTTAATAAACAAATATTGCTTAAATGGAAGAAATTTTATGAAATAGGGTAAACTCGCATAAGATGGCCATACTTTTTTAAAATGCCAAAAAAAATACATTTCTTATTGTTATTTCTTAATAATATTTAGTATTGTAATACATTACTTCATTGAAGCCTACATAATATTATCAAAGTTAATGGGAAAATACTTTATTGAAATTATTTATTACAAAATATCAAAATATGAGCATTGGTCATCTTACCTGAATTTTTCAGACAAGATAAAACTTCAGACGGTCATAAAATTAAAGAATAAATAGCCCATACATATTTTATGTTTAATGATGTACCTATTGTTTTATAAAATAATGATAAAACACAATTTGACATATTTATTTTAGTATAGGATATTTAATACATATTATTTGTGAAAAATATAATATACATATAAAGTAAAAACATCTACTACAAAACTTAAATTCTAAATGTAATCTTCTGATTAAAATATATTGCACATAAGATTTAATGTAATATTAAGAATAATTTTTAAAACATAATAATTTTTGTTTTATAAATGTTCATAAAATAATAGTAAGTTATCTTAGTTAGTTTTTCACTTCAAAATGTGAATAAAATACGGTTATACTATTTATAAACAAACAGTGAAAACAAAAATAAAAACCGCATATTATAATTAACATATCTTCTTTATATATCTAACGTTGATTTTGATAGCTTAACTGTAATTTATTCGACGTTACAACAAGTTTCAGTGGACACAAAAATTTTACAGATAGTCGAAAATGAACATATAGTATACGAGGGTAGTCCCAGAAGTACCCGGCCTAACAAAGAAAACACAAAAATTTTGAAAAAATATATCTTTATTTCTCAACATAGTCCCCTTTTAGCTCGATACACTTTTCCCAGCGATGTTCAATAACTTCGATACCATGTTTATAGTGAGAACCATCGAGTTCCTCAAAATAGCCATCAACCGCAGACTCCACCTCTTCATTGTTAGCAAATTTTTTACCACCAAGCCATTTTTTCAAGTTTGGAAATAGATAATAATCTGAGGGGGCTAAATCTGGTGAATAAGCGTGAGAAAGCAATTCAAACTTTAACTCATTGATTTTGACCATCGCAATAACGGACGTGTGAGCCGGTGCATTGTCATGATGAAACAACACTTTCTTTTTCGCCAAATGCGGACGTTTTTTCTTGATTTCATCACTCAAACGCTGCAATAAGTTCACATAATACTCGCCGTTGATTGTTTTTCCTTTTTGAAGATAATCAATGAAAATTATCCCACGCACATCCCAAAAAACTGACGCTATAACTTTGCCAGCCGATGGAGTTATCTTCGCCTTTTTCGGAGCCGATTTTCCCCTTTCAGTCCATTGTTTCAACTGTTCTTTCTCAGGTGTGAATCGACGCGAAAACTCGGCCTTATTACTGCGAAACATCGCCAAACACTCGATTGAAACATCCTCACGACGCTGTTTTTGTTCAATTGTGAGCAAACGGGGCACCCATCGTGCGCACAGCTTTTTCATGTCCAAATTTTCAGTCAATATGCGATGTACAGCACTTTTTGATATGCCTACCATGTCAGCTAACTCGCGCACTTTTAGTCGACGGTCATCCAATACCATTTTGTGGATTTTCGTCACCATTTCTGGCGTGGTCACCTCATTTGGTCGACCACTGCGATGTTCGTCTTGGCAGCTCTTTTAAACGGCCTCTTTTAAACTCTGCCACCCAATATTTTATTGTTGTAAACGAGGGAGCAGACTCCCCCAGAGTAGAATCTAGCTCAGTTTTGATATTGGTTGGACTCAGACCTTTCAAATGAAAGTATTGTATCACATAACGATGACCAATTTTCTCCATGTTTACAAAAGTACTGAGAGCGTTCACTATTGATGGCTGCCAAACTAATACTAAACAACGTAGAGTTTTGAAACTTTAAACTTCAGCTTTATAAGGTTTTTTTCAAACAACAACCGCCATCTATACGTCAGGTCGGGTACTTCTGGGACTACCCTCGTATATATACTTTTGTCTCATACTCGTTCAAACGCGCAGCAATCGTGAGGGCGATTCTTTCCCCTCGTAACAGGCTGTTAACAGTCCCGCTACTCTTCCTCTCTTTTTCTCTCTCTTAGATCACTTCATGTAACTTAAAACTTATAATGCCGAAGGTTCGCCGCGATTTTCGTTGAGCTCCGTGCGTTATTCTTCCTTCGAAAGTTGCGGAAGTCTCTCTCTTTCTCTCTCTCTCTCCCTGCCCCCTGCCCTCTCCCTCGTTTTACGAGCACCGAGAGCTTCGCGGCATTTGCACCGCGGTCGAATTTCAACTTCTTGTTCCACGCAGGCGGCTCTACACGCCGAATCGCTTTATTTTCAACAACAATGGGCGCACAATAAACCGGTATATTACACACCCCGGTACACGTACCGTTGCGGCATAGAACAGGGAGGGAGAGAGAAGGGAAGAGAGAGTGAGAGAGGGGGGAGGGAAGAGAGAGAAAGAGAAATAGAAAAGTAGAAGAAAAAATACAGAGGAGAGGAGAGGAGAGAAAGAATCACTCCCTTCGCATTACGCCGAGTTACGGGATACAATGGGGTCCCCAAAGCATAAAACTGGTCGAGAACGTTCGAGCTTTTGTACCGGTGGTATAACTCAAGTGTCGCGCCATTATTTAACCATAGATACGACGGGTCTTTGCATTCTCCCGTGTGTCCACCGACGAGGAGTCCACTCGCGCCCCGGCTAACGTAAAAGTTAATTGAAAAACAGGAAATTAAATTTTCGCTATTCCCACACGCGCCACGCAGCCACGGCTCCTCCGGATAATAGGAGCCCCCTCCCGCCGTGCCCGCGTTCGGCCGGCTTTTGCGAAACAACGGCTCCTCTATAAATTATCGACTTGCTTAATCATTCGCCGTCTGATCCGCTGGATAGCCGATTGTGAGAGGGGCCGCAGCGGCAGGAGCTGGAGCGGCGAGGGCACGGGGGCGAATTTATGTTGCATCGTTTCTGTATCGCGTCCACGACGGCGCGGGTCACGCGGCGCAAATGAATCCCGCGGGAAAGTCGTAACGGCCGCGATGTCCTCGTTAACGATTATTAATCGTCCGTTTTTGACCGCGCGGACAATTCGTTTGTCGGGCGCATGACGCTCGCCGCGTGGAGTTATTATGTGTTTCGTGTGAAATTCCCCTTCCAGCTCTCCCTACCCCCCCCTCTCTCTCTCTCTCTCTCTCTCTCTGCCTCTGTCTTCCTCGCCCGAAAGGTCAAACTTTAATTTAATTCTTTGAGTCTGACACCAGAGACACGGCTGGTAGGTGCGAGAAGAACAGACGACGTTAGATCGATACGCGAGCCGACGACTTCATTTTGGAAATAAGAAAACTTTCTTCGTGTTCGCGCCCCCTCGCCAGTGCAGTGGAACCAGTGTCAGATGGTGAATTTCATTATCGGCGAGGCCCGATATCTTTGCATTAAAATCGTTCGGCGACGAGACACGTTGCGCGCGTCTGCCAAAGCTCACAGTTGTCGATTCCAGATAAGACTCGCGCTGTCCAATATTATCGGAACTTTGCATCACCTCGGTCATCCTCCCGCGCGCGTATCAGTCCGAATTTCCCGGATTTGTCGCTGATGTAAACTGCATGGATGGCTTCTTCTCTTTGCAGGTTGTTCTTGCGTTGTGTATAGCAGCTCGGACAGGCCTCAAGGTGGCACTTTCATATCCCCTGATTTTCCCAGGCGATATCCGGCGAACATCGATTGCCTCCTTTACACGTTCGTCAGTCACCCGGACGAGATCATTGTTTTAACGTTTGACCAGTTCAACATTCGTCGCTCGTCGTCCGAGTAAGTAGCACTGCATTTATTTTCGAGCAGCCAACGTTTACAAATTAGATACTTCCATAGAGTTTGACCTAAAACTGAGTTAAATTAAAGTCGTGGAGTGAGTTCGACTTTTATGTCGATTCAGAATGATTATTTAAAAATGGCAAAAACCGCAGTGGTTATACTCTACTCTCTAAAGAATGATGCCACTAGTCCATAGGTCATGTGTCTCATTTCTAAGCAGAGAAAAATACACTTAAAATGGGCACCAAATTAAAAGTCTTAATGAGCTGATTATGAAGATATAGGTTTTAGAGCCGCCCAGTATATTGTTTCAACACTACGATCCAAAAAGATCCCAAATTTTAGGTTATATTCAAACTGATGTTTCTTTAGCAAAACTTAACGAATTTTAAAAATTCAAAATGCTACATTAAATAAAGTTAAATAGAGAATTTAATGGTATAAATTCCATGTTTCAAATTGATCGGAAGTAAAAGATTCCAATTGGAACATCAACTCCCGGTCGATTTTGGAACATAAAGCGCATAGGAAAATGTAACCTTAACCTACTCAAAAACATTAGAAATACTCAAATCGTTTTTGTTTGACTATTTTAAAAGCTGGATCAAACAAAATTCAACTTTTGAAATGAAATGAAATGAAAGAAACATAAAGAAAGTAGCCTAAAATTTGAAAACTTTTTGGACCGTAGTGTTGGAACGATACACTGGACGGTTCTAAAACTTATATCTTTATAATCAGCTCATCAAGACCTTTAATTTGGTTCCTTAATATGACATAATTTAAGTACATTTTTCACTGTTCAGAAATGGGACACATATTGGCGTCATTCTTTTACGGAATAAAATTTCCCATAAGAGGATGCTGAAGTCGATGACGAACTCGAACAATGCAGAAATAATCGTCGCTAACACGACTATGCTATCCTTTTCATATTTTTTGTACATATAGAGTTTACGTAAATATTTTTGTAAATTGCTTTGTTTTACTATATTCAGCGGAAAATCTAATATATATGCATGTGTAGAAATCTTCTTGCAAGCTTTTTTGAGATAGCTTTCTTAGATTTTGAATTCAGATGCGAAGGTATACTCGAACGTTTGCATATTGTAGCATTCACTGGATCGATAGTCCCTAAAAATTTCCAAGCAGCCGCATTCGTTTCTACCTACGCGTTTCTCATGACTGTTGATTGATCTAGCAAGCGAGAATATGTTCACAGTTAATGTGACATTTTGACAGCTTGACGTTTCATGCGCGCGTATACATTTATAAAAAGGGTTACTCGCCTTCATGTGACGTGTAATCAGTAGAAATGAAAGTTTTAAGAGAGAGAGGTAAGTACATGATTATACAATTAATTTAGTAAAACTATATAATTGCAACTAATTATATGAATTGATTTTTGTTACGTGTCACATGGAAGTGAATAACCTCTTTTATACAAGATATCTGATAACTCACAGAGAAGCCGTAGTAAACAGATAGATTAGGTCAAATTGAACAAAAAATTTCTCTACTATTTTGCCAACAACCACGTAAAATTTTGAGTTATTAATCAAAGAAGATTTGTGAATGATTACGCGTAATAAGGTGGATAAGTTGTGATAGCAATGTCTGCCTCTGAATATTTATATATTATATCAAACTAAAAAGTCCTCTACCATTTTCCAAATAACCACGTATATGTTTAGTTATTAATTCAAGAAATTTGATGTACAATTGTATGTGTTAATCCACCAATTGTTTAAATTAATAACTGAACATCTACGTGGTCATTTAGAAAATGGTAGAGAACTCTTTTTATTCAGTTTGATCTAATATACAAGCATATAATGGCAGACGCCGCCATCACAGCTCATTTACCGTATGGCGCGCAATCATTCACGAATCTTCTTTGATCAATAACTTAAAATTTTTAGTTTGGTTTTTTGTAAAATGGTAGAGGAATTTTTTGCACAGTTTGACCTAATCCAATTGTACACTGCGGCTCCTCTGTGAGTTATCGGGTACCCTGCAGATGTATACAAAACGTCAAGCTATCAAAATATCACTTTGACTGTGGACCATTCGTTGGATCAATCAACGGTCATGAGAAACGCGTAGCTAGATACAGATGCGGCAGGTTGGGAATTTTTAGTGACTATCGATCTAGTGAATGGTATTGCACCCACGCGTTTGAGTGTACAGCAATGTTTCTTCAAAATTTTTCTGTTTGGATCATCCACATTTTTGGTATGTACATACAAGTAGCAACACTTTTGGCTTAGGCAAATATTACGCTAACTAACAGCTTGAGATTTAACATTTTTTTCAGTTTCATTACATATTGAGCAACGCTCCTATTTATTTTTGCACGTACCTTCATTGCGTAGAAGCATTTGTAATACTATACAACCAATATTGCATAAACTTTGTAGAAGAATGTAAGTATTCTGGCAGTAAAGTTTTCAGCTTCAGGATCCTTTTAAGAAGCTTAGAGTAAATCCTGGCTCTATATGGAGAGAATATTTCAATTAATGGGGATAAATATATTCCTGTGATGGGAATAAATATATTCCTGTGATAGAGGAATTCATTAGATTCACTCTTGAATTTCGAGTGAAGATATCCATTCAACGATTCAGGATAGAGAGGTCACTTTATATGAGTGAAAAGTCACTCAAATTCGAATGATTTGGTTACCACTCTATTTCTTCAACGGAATTTCTTGGAAAAAATTTAAAGAATTAAATTTTTGTAACGAAATTTCTTTCAAAATAACTCGTAAAAATTTACTCAAAGTGACTGTGAAAAACAGCCACTTGGAATCGTACGAGTGAATGAATCATTTAAGATAAAATTGAATTTTGATTTCATAGAAGTGAATGTTGCAATCGATTAGAGAGAATTTGTTACTACGAAGTGGTTACTGGGATCCATTAAATATTATACATTGCACAATTTTGAGTGAAAAAATTTATTAGGCCATTTAAATTGGAGAACTCACCATATAAGTAAAAAGTCTCTCGGATTTAAGTGACTTGATTGTTTACTTGTCCAATGGAATTTCATTCAAAGAAATTTAAAGAGAAAACTCCCTAAATTTGTTAGAATATAATTTCACTCAAAATGAGTGAAATTAACTTCAAGCGATGATAAAAATCGTAAGAATAAATTGAAATCGTTATTGAGATAGTAATCAAAATCGTAAGAGTGACCAGATAAGTTATCAAGTTTGTTAGATGTAAAATAGGTTATAGATGAAAAAAGTTAAAAAGAACCGACGCAAGGTTTTGAACTTCATATAAATGCATATTTTAATGAGAATGAATTTGTTCTTGTGGGGCGGTGAAATACATTAGATTCATTCTTCGACTTCGAGCAGAAGTTTTCCTTCAGCGATTCGGGGTGAAGAATTTATGCTATATGAATGAAAATCATTTAAATTCAAATGATTGTCTTTTTACTTCCTGAGTGAAATTTCACTCACACTTGAAGAAGTTCAGAGAGTATGAAGTGAATAAAAATACGTGTATATCACTTCTTTGTTGTACTTCTTCAAATTATATTAACATAGCTTAATATAAGCAATTTGTAAATTTCACGAACTCATGATGTCATGTTGCGCACAATTTCATACATGATATAATGCGCTGCTTTCATAGATTATAATTAGGCGGGCTGTTTCGCTATGGTCAGCGCTGGCAGCCAGCATTATGTTAACGGATAAATTATCCATGCGCGGTGATTTGCCGTGCCTAATTCGGGCCTTCCGTTATCCGATAGAGTCAATTCGCGGCTGTCTGCCGCCAATGCCGGAATGCAGTCATGTACTGTGTGTTAAATTATACCGATACGCATATGTACGTTCGCACTTGCACACATACACGCGTATATTAAAGATATGTAGAGAAAGCGTGCTACAACACGCATATTTCTAACGTTACATCTGTGAACATTACGGCCGCTGCAAACGAATAATGTTGGTCTCCTTTAGCAAGCGTGCCGACAGTTTGGCCGGTTAAGAACACGTTCAACAAGCGCACGTTTCTCGTTTCCTAATGAAAACTTGTCGCGTGATATTCCAATTAACTTTCTTGTGTTGGTACTTACTTAGATATATAGGATGTCTATTTAAATCCATATTCACACACACACAGGAAGTATACATTGCAACTCGATTTACATCTACTCTTGTAAAGTATCTGTGAGGTACTTTACAGTATCTCACAGAGTTTTGTTTAAGAAATGAAATATATACTTGAAACTTTACTCGAGTCGAAATTTTGATGCTACTTTGACGCACTTAAGGATATTTTGCGCCTACTTAGACGGTTTACAGCCTAGGTAAAACCTACTTTGACGATATTGATACACATTAACTTCTCTTTTGAATCTTTAACTCTACCTTGTCAAAATTTTGACGCTACTTTGACTCTCTTAAAAATAGTTTGAGCCTACTTAGATAATCTACAACCTAGGTGAAACCTATTTTGACGATATTGACATTCATTTCTGAGTCAAAATTTTGACCCTATGTTGAACCTTGAATTTTACACCGCAGTAGGAGCTAAGATAGCAAAGTAGGTTTATTTCTAATGATATAATTTACTCCTACTTTGACCCTGATAATGTCTGAAATATATGCAACAAATAAAATATATATTTTGTATGCTATTTGACGTTTCTGTTTCTGTTTTATTTATTAAATTTTTTAAATATTTCTATAAAATATATATATTCTATGTAGGAGCTAAAGCTTCAATAGAGGTTCGCAACTAAACCTATTTTGCTTCCTAAGTTCCTACTATTATATAATCTACTTTGACGCTAAAGAAAGCGAAAGCGGAAATTCCAGACATTATCAGGGTCAAAGTAGGAGTAAATTATATCATTAGAATTAAACCTACTTTGCTATTTTAGCTCCTACTGCAGTAGAATTCAAAGTTCAACATAGGGTCAAAATTTCGACTCGGGTATCTACAAAACATTGACATTTTCTTACAAAGTTTATGCCGTGATGGTCACACAGAATTACAGATGCTCTTGCACAATAAAAGTACGTGCAAAAATGAGTTGGAACATTGTTCAATATATGATGGAAACGATAAAAAGTTTTAGAATTGACATCTGGAGCTCTCGGTTAGCGTAAATATTTGCCCGATACAAAAGTTCTGCAGCTTGTGCATACTAAACATGTGTTTGGTTCATTCAGAAAAATTTCAAAGAACACTGTTGTTGCTTCACAACTGAATTTAAAAGCTCAAAAATACGGGAAGTTTGTAATAATAGTCCTGCAGGTCTGTGGTTACGTTTTCCATTCAATATAGTAAAAAGTAGTACGCTATTTACATAAGATCTATACAGTCGATATAATATATTTAACATTTACTAGACTTAGCAGTTGCAGTAAAAATTTTTAACCACGCGTAATATGTCTACATATTTGTGTACTGTTAAGATTACTTCGAGGTAACGTTGTCACATTTCCTCGGAATAATTGACTTACGAATATTTAAAAGCATTGCGTAATCGTGAAATTTGGTCGTAACTAGATATGGTGAATGTTAAAAATAAGGTGAATATTCCAGTTGGTGACAGTTGCACCTATTTCTCTTTTAATAAATCAATTAATATGAGTTCATATATTTATTCTAAACAAGCATCCTTATTCTAAATTTTATATATTATCTATCATAACAAATTTCGGATAAAATTAGAAGTCATAGTAAATGCTGGATCATAAAATTCTTACAAGCGTACTGCTGGCGGCGTCAGTTCGAACAGTTACGAACTAAGTTCGTATTTTTAAATCTCTATTGTTATTCGCCGACATTTCAGAAACTGACAATTAATATCACATGTCTACTTGTTAGATCTATATAGTTATTCCTTAACTTCAAGCGATTGAAGTGATTATGACAAAGTTAAGAGAAGAGGTTAAAAACTATTTTATAAGCAGAGAAAATAATAAGACACACAATTTTCGCACTTAATTTATATATGTCACTAATTTGTACTAATTATATTTATTTGTCCGCATTTTTTAGTAATAATTTGAATAAATATGACATAAAATAATATAAACGTTCCTATTTATAAAAAAAATATATTGTTTATAAGTCTTATTTATTAAGAAATAGTATTAATGTCATAACTTGCCTCTCTAGAATTTATTAAATAGTATAAATATACAGAATATCTGACGATTACATATACACATTTCGTGTACGTGTAGATTAGGTCAAGTTGAACAAAAAGTTCCTCTACCATTTTGTGAACAATCACGTAAAATGTTTAACTGTTGAATAAAGAAAATTGGCGAATGATCGTGTATAATATTATGAATGAAGTATCGTAGAGATAGTGTTTGGATCGCGCTAATCAGGGTTAGACTGCATGCCATTCCTCTCTAGTCTCTCATCGCTCGATACTTGAGTAGAGTAAAATTACATTAGATGAGCATCGA